GTCTGTCTGTCTCTCTCTCTCTCTCTCTCTCGTCTCTGTCTGTCTGTCTCTCTCGCTCTCTCTCTCTCTCTGTCTGTCTGTCTGTCTCTCTCATTCTCTCTCGCTCTCTCTCTCTCTCTCTCCTCTCTCTCTCTCTCTCTCTGTCTGTCTGTCTCTCTCGCTCTCTCTCGCTCTCTCTCTCTCTGTCTGTCTGTCTGTCTCTCTCGTTCTCTCTCTCTCTCTCTCTCCTCTCTCTCTATCTCTCTCTGTCTGTCTGTCTGTCTGTCTCTCTCTCTCTCTCTCTCTCTCTCTCCTCTCTCTCTCTCTCTCTCTCTCTCTCTCCGGTCATGCGCCACACCGGATGCAATGACAACACCCTACGCTCTTGATTTTAATTAAATATTCATTCATGATAGGCTGCACAGTGGCACAGTGGTTAGAGCTGTTGCCTTGTAGCAAGAAGGTCCTGGGTTTTGCTTCCCAGCCTGGGATATTTCTGCATGGAGTTTGCATGTTCTCCCTGTGCATGCGTGGGGTTCTCTCCGGGTTCTCCGGCTTCCTCCCACAGTCCAAAAACATGACTGTTAGGGTGATTGGTCTGTCTAAATTGTCCTTAGGTGTGTGTGCTTGGTTGTTTGTCCTGTGTGTCTCTGTGTTGCCCTGCAATGGACTGGCTCTCTGTCCAGGGTGTACAGGTGCTGGCCAGTAAATTAGAATATCATCAAAAGGTTGAAAATATTTCAGTAATTCCATTCAAAACGTGAAACTTGTACATTATATTCATGCAATGCACACAGACCAATGTATTTCCGATGTTTATTACGTTTAATTTTGATATTTATAGGTGACAACCAATGAAAACATCAAATCTGGTATCTCAGAAAATTAGAATATTCTAAAGGCCAATGAAAAAATGTTTGTTTCTCTAATGTTGGCCAACTGAAAAGAATGAACATGAAAAGAATGTGCATGTATAGCACTCAATACTTAGTCGGGGCTCCTTTTGCCTCAATAACTGCAGTAATGCGGCGTGGCATGGACTCGATCAGTCTGTGGCACTGCTCAGGTGTTATGAGAGCCCAGGTTGCTCTGATAGTCGTCTTCAGCTCCTCTGCATTGTTGGGTCTAGCGTATTGCATCCTCCGCTTCACAATACCCCATAGATTTTCTATGGGGTTAAGGTCAGGCGAGTTTGCTGGCCAATCAAGGACAGGGATACCATGGTCCTTGAACCAGGTGCTGGTGGTTTTGGCACTGTGTGCAGGTGCCAAGTCCTGTTGAAAGGTGAAGTCTGCATCCCCATAAAGTTGGTCAGCAGCAGGAAGCATGAAGTGCTCTAAAACTTCCTGGTAGACGGCTGCATTGACCCTGGACCTCAGGAAACAGAGTGGGCCAACACCGGCAGATGACATGGCACCCCACACCATCACTGACGGTGGAAACTTTACACTGGACCTCATGCAACGTGGATTCTGTGCTTCTCCGCTCTTCCTCCAGACTCTGGGTCCTTGATTTCCAAAGGAAATGCAGAACTTGCTTTCATCAGAAAACATAACTTTGGACCACTCAGCATCAGTCCAGTCCTTTTTGTCCTTGGCCCAGGCGAGACGCTTCTTGCGCTGTTTCATGTTCAAGAGTGGCTTGACACACGGAATGCGACACCTGAATCCCATGTCTTTCATGAGTCTCCTCGTGGTGGTTCTTGAAGCGCTGACTCCAGCTGCAGTCCACTCTTTGTGGATCTCCCCCACATTTTTGAATGGGTTTGTCGTCACAATTCTCTGCAGGGTGCGGTTATCCCTAGAGCTTGTACACTTTTTTCTACCACATTTTTTCCGTCCCTTCGCCTGTCTGTTAATGTGCTTGGACACAGAGCTCTGCGAACAGCCAGCTTCTTTAGCAATCACCTTTTGTGTCTTGCCCTCCTTGTGCAAGGTGTCAATGATTGTCTTTTGGACAGCTGTTAAGTCAGAAGTCTTCCCCATGATTGTGGTGCCTTCAAAACAAGACTGAGGGACCTTTTAAAGGCCTTTGCAGGTGTTTTGAGTAAATCAGCTGATTAGAGTGGCAGCAGGTGTCTTCTATATTCAGCCTTTTCAGAATATTCTAATTTTTTGAGATACCAAATTTGGAGTTTTCATTAGTTGTCACTTATGAATATCAAATTTAAATGTAATTAACATTGGAAATACATTGGTCTGTGTGCATTGCATGAATATAATGTACAAGTTTCACGTTTTGAATGGAATTACTGAAATATTTTCAACCTTTTGATGATATTCTAATTTACTGGCCAGCACCTGTACCCCGCCTGATTGCCCATTGACCGCTGGAGATAGGCACCAGCCTGTGTTGAAGATTTGTTTGTTAGTTCTCTTGGGTAATTTCTACTATTGTTCTTATATTACCTCAAAGAAAGTCAGAACACACACAGAGGGATTAGATTCATCATTTGGTCAACTGTAAACAACCTTTAAACAGACAAACAGACACATACTTTGCAGAGGGTGAGAATCAAACACACCAGACAAGGGCCAGTTTCCTCTCACCAAGAGCCGAAGCTTGTGAAGAGCTGTTATGTGAACATACACACCCACAAATTCCACAAACACCCTCCTTGGCCTCAGAAAACAAATAGCGTGAAACCCCCCGTCTGACTAGTTTGGCTTCAACTAATGGAGCAAAACACCTCGAGCAGAAAGGAGTTTTCTGAAAACACCCAAACATAAAAGAGTACCAAGGGTTAGTGAACTCTGCTTGATGATTAGGTCAGGGTTTTTCCTAACAAGTTCTAAGTTAAGGATGGTCTCTGTGTGTTTCAGCATGCTGATCTATTACCTCCAAGCCATAGCCAGATCCCTCAAATTCACCAACAACCAGCTGAGGATGCAGCTTCAGACGGTGAGTTTGTTGAAAATCACATTTCAGGTTTTAGCACACCTCTGTTGTTGCTTGGCTTCCTGGGGCTGGAGGCTAGGAGGGAGATCTGGCCGTCTGGTTGGGGTCTGGGGTGGTGGGTTGCTGTGCTCAGCGTTGGGTGGGGGAGCCTGCTCATCAGCACCCCAGCAGAAAGGGTCAAACTCTGGGAACCGGTGATGGTTGTACCCCATGTGCAGCAGTACCGGGACCAGAGTGAATAGGGTGTGTATGGGGAGCATGAGAGAGGGAGTGTGTGACTGTGTTTGTGTATGACTGTATATGTCATTGACTCTTCCATTCACGTGGGAATTCTTTTGATGATATAGATGTATATGTAACGTATAATGTATATGTAACAGTGATGTTAGGGCTAAAAGGCAGAATTCACGTTTGTTTGTTTGTTTTTCATTGGAACTTCACTTCCTACATTTGGCAAGTCGGGATCGGTCGCCCTAGTCTGACGGTGTTGACATAAATGTGGGACCATTTTGACAGACTGTAAAATAACAGTAAATATTGAGGAATAATCACTGGTTTTAGTTTTGAAGTATTTTTCCCTCTATTATTTAATGTGTGAGTACTTTATTGAAAAAAAGTCTTTTTCACTATCAGTTATCCAGATCAAAACCCCGCTGTCTGAGGACAGCACATTTTGTAAATAAAGGGCTAATAAATAAGTAAAAAATCATTACATTGAAATTAAAGTCATGAGAAAAGTTTACATTTGTTGTGTGTGTTAAAAGTCCATACTTGTGAGGGCACCATATGAGCACCTGCGTGCAAAAACGTGCTCGTGTATGTAAGGTTTGTCTATAAGCGTTTCCCAACCCTGGTCCTCAGGGCACACTGACCTGAATGATTTCCATGTCACTGCTTCAGCACACCTGATTTACATTGGCTCCTCAGGAGGACATCAAGTGCTGCAGATGCCTGTTAATCCCAGGGAAACACTGATGTTTAAAAGGGTAACATGGAAAACATGCTGGACAGCGTGCCCTGAGGACCAGGGTCGAGAAACACTGCTACGTTACTACATATGTAACAGATGACCAGTAAGATGTGACGATTCCATATGAATATGAAATATACATCTGATCGATCTTTGAATGTTTAATCAGGAGATTATAGTTACTTTCACTTATTCAGGGACCATAGACACACTTCACATTAATTCAGACAGAGTCAGTATATAGTTTATAAAAATGAATTTATTTATTTTTCCTAAACTAACGATTATACATGACAAGTATGAATGATATGTGATGTATGTAGTAGATGTAATGGATATGAAGTGATGTGATGTGTGGAATGCTGGAATGGAAGATAGATGTTGTACCAAAACCGTTCTTAGGTATCTGAGAGAATTTGTGGAGTCTGGGTTGTGACATGAATGGGGCTGTATGTTTGGTAAACCAGAAACTTATTCATAAAATCCATCCGACGCCTGCGTCCAGCCTACGATACCCTTTTTGTACGTGTCGCTCCCGTCGGCCCGGAGGAAGGGCGGTCCGAGTGGTGAGTCACCGGACATTGAGACCGCGAGAACCCAAAGACTCGTAGCCCACTTTGAATTCAGCTTTCACTGACCATGAGATGCAACCAGGGCCTGCAGGTTAGATGTCTGAGGGGTTGAGCGGCTCTTAAAAGAGCCGTTGTGTCTCCCACAGCGTCGCAGAGAGGCTTTCTGACTCCATGTCAAAAGACAAGATGGTTTCAAGATGGTTCTTCAGCTGGAAACTGGCCGGATCAGGAAACAATTCCTGTTTTATTAAAACATATTGTTTATAAAGAGTGTCGGGAGTAATGCGGTTCAAAAGTAATTAATTACTGTAATGTAGGGATGGGTACCTTTGACATTTGAGTCTATTCGGTACTAATTCCCGGTACCTAGGAATCGATACCGGTACTTAACGGTACCAATTTTCAATACTTTTGAGTGTTTATTATTTTAATTCTCTTTTATAATTGAATATATATTTTTCTCAATATATAACAATATTTGATCAATATCACGATAAATAACATACAACTGTTTGTATTTTAACATCGTCCTTGTAGTTTTATAAGCTGATAATTAAACTGAAGCAAACATCTTTACTGTGAACTAAATTTACTGTGTATCTTCATTCCTTTTGCCGTCCTTTTTCAATTGATTTTTCCCACTGGGAAGTTAGAATTTCCGAGGAGAAAGCGAACGCACCATTAGCTGATAACAATGGTGGCAATGGAAGCTAACATATCAAGCTAACGTTATCTTAAACAGTTTATTTAGCTGCTGGAGCAGATTAAAACGATGATGCCTCACACTTAGATCGTTGTCGCTGGTTTCATCTTCACCCAATCACCCGTCGCGTTTAGTAAAGTGAAGCCAAACTTTAGAGCGCGTTCATGTTCTTCTAGTCGGAAATTCGGAGTTCCGAGGAGAAAGCGAACGCACCATTAGCGGAACGGAAGCTAACATATCAAGCTAACGTTATCTTAAACATTTTATTTACCTACCGGAGCAGATTAAGATGAGGATGTCTCACTTAGATCGTTGTCGCTGGTTTCATCATCACCCAGTTACCCATCACATTTAGTGAAGTGGACCCAAGCGTTAGCGTGCGTTCTTTCTACCATGCTGCTCTGTTTACAACTCGCTCGCAGCGACCAACGGCATAACGCTCTTGCGCAGCTGTCTAGGCAAGTTCTTGTTATGAAGGACGGGTACCGAAACGAGGCACCGTTTGAAATGACGTGAATCGGTGCTCAGTCGGTACTATGGAATTCGGTCGGTGCCTTAAAAAGTACCGAATTCGGTACCCATCCCTACTGTATTGCATTGCTATTTGCTGTAATGTGGTAATGTAAGACGTTACAGGGAAAGAAATTGGTAATATTTACTCGGTACAATTGTCAGTAACGCGGTAATTAAAACGCATTTTTAAACACAGAATCTAGATGTGGGTTTCCTAAAAATTCAAATTGCGGGAAGCCTGAAAAAAGATCCAGTATCAACATATATGACGTCATTTATGGACTCAGCTTTGCGGGCATTCTATGAGCAGAGAGGACGCAGCGGTGATGGCTCAAATACTCCAGCTGCGTCCTGCGTACGGCCGCTGTTATATTCACAAAATCGCTCCACCAAAACAAAGTCATTCGTTTACGATTGTCAGCCCATATTCTTTGGTACTTCATGTTTCTTTTCAGCTGATTCATAATCTGTGCCCCGGTGATTTCAGCTCATTGCTGCCGGAGTGCAGCGCATATTAGGCTTATTTATTTATTTATTGTGTTCGGTAGATCCCGTTGGCTGATTAGTTAGAAAGTAGGAAATCTAGTTTACAGTTTTTCTGGAGGACGGAGAAAACATGCAGCATGCAGGAAGGTTAGAGAGAGAAAGGGCCGGAAATTATTTAAATAAAATCAAGAAAACAAAACAAAGTGCTTGAAAAGAAAAAAGTAGGTAGATTTATCCCCAATACACATGTTTACCAGTGAAAAGCAATAATATATAAGCATTTAATATTTATACATGTGATAGAATCAGATCACCCCAGAAGTCAGTCCCACATCCAGGGCCGTATCAAGGCATTTGAGGACCAAGGCAAATATAGGCTTGGAGCCCCCACCACCTCACTCCCTGCTCAGTTAATATAAGGTGGCAGCGTGCTGAGAGTACAGATTGTTGTTGTTTTTATTTAATAAACAATAATTTTAAAGCACCGTTATTATATCTGACTGTTTTAACAGCAATCCTAGCTCAGCCACCACACCACCTTCCACACATATGTCATGAGTGTCATGTTCTGTGTCCCTTTGTTCCCCAGCCCCTCCAGTTCCCACTCCAGGTTCTCCTTTTGTGTTTCATAGCGCCCTCATGTGTCCTTTGTCTGCGTCTCATTTATGTGTCTCCAGTGTTCCTTTAGTCTTCTCCAGTCACTCCCTCTGCAGTGTTTATAGTTTCATTTTATTAGTCTCTTTAATACGTTTTGTCCCACCGGTCTTTGTAGTTCTCCTTCCCTTTAGAATATTAGTTATGTGGTTGCTTTTCTTGTTTTTAGTTTTTTTCTTAGGTCATGTGAGTTCCCTCCCTGATTAAGTATTGCTTTCACCTGGTCCTCTCCCCACACACCTGCAGCTCATCTGCCTCCCATCATGCCCCAGTGTATTTAAGCCCTGTCTTGTCTCAGTGTCTTGTCGGTCCATTGTTGTTTGTTCAGCGTTGTTTTGGTGCTCTGTGTGAGCTTCCTGTCCCGTCCCCAGTCCGTGCTCTAAGTGGGCTTTGGTTCTCATGTTCTGGATTTTTGGATTTTGGCTCCCTGCCTTTTTTTGGATTTAATTTTGTTCATCCTACAATAAAAGGATTTTTACTTCATATCCACTCCTGCCTCGCGTCAAAACGTGACAATGAGCTCACTGAGCGTCAGATTACCAGATTCATATTGAAGTTGTTTTGGTGAAAGTAACTTAGAGTAATGCAAAAGTAGTGGAATACCTTACATTTTAAAATCAGTAATATTGTAATGTAATGAATTACTTTAAAATGAGGGTAACAAGTAATACATAATGCATTACAGTTTTGAAGTAACTTGCCCAACATTGTTTATAAATTTGGCAAATCAGAATCTGGCACGTCTGAGGGCTTTATCAAAATGTACCTCAGAAGTCCCTCCGTCATTCAGATACAAAGATAGTTAACTCTGTGTGAATGAGAATGTTTTAACACTCAAGGGACGTGGATGTTAAACATTACTAATAATCTCATTATAACGTGTATGAGTACTGATAGATTAACTTTTGTTAAATCACACACACACACACACACACACACACACACACACACACACACACACACACACACACACACACAATACTAAGATGGTGCTGAGTGTGGCTGTGCGTTCTGCTGGAGCTCAGGGAAAATCTGAGGTCCTCATATATTAGACAGCTGAGGGGAAAGCCATTGTAGAAGATGAAATTCTTAGTTTTATCACCGTCAACAAGCTAACTCTCACAAAGGATGAAATGGTTCTGTTGGTCACCAACATTTCCTTATTGGAATGGATTGAGGAGTCCAAACGATTACTGTTTGAACTGTGCAGCTCCTCCGAGCGCTACATCCGGCATAAAGGCCAACAAAAAGATGCCAATAATGTTAAAGTCTACCTGAAAGTCCTTAAAGAGCAAGTCACCCCCTACCAGAGTCTAACCACTCCCACTTCATGTTTGAAAAATGCAACACAGGCTGTTGCCTGGCAGACCGAGAGGGCGGAGCTGCTAACAAATACACACACACTCAGGCTCATGACAGCATTGTGACATCATAATGTACCAGTTTACATCATAGCATACCTCTTAGCCAATAGCGGTGGCAGATATAAATTAAAATACAGTGCAGAGTTTTTACCTGACAACGGCACAACACTGCCAGTTTTAGGCAGAATATTTAAATTTGAACTAAGATGCACTGAAGTGCCAAATTATTGACGACACGTGTCTGCAGCACGATTAGACACTCGTTTATTTAGTTTATCAGCAAAAAAAAGTTTATTTGGGGGTGACTTGCTCTTTAATGAGTGTGCTGTAATAGTGTGGTGAAAACACCCCAGATTTGTTTCTTACTACTGGGATGAGCTGCTAACTGTGGCGTCCGGCAAAATGGATGCGTCAGCATGACTCAGCCAGACGGAGCAGCTGAACGGCCGTGCGCCCCAGGGCAGCTGGGGCTACATCGTAGCTCATCACCATCAGTGTGTGAATGTGTGTGTGAATGGATGAATGATACACTGTAGTGCGCTTTGGAGTCCTCTTACTCTGAAAGGCGCTATTCAAGAGCGGGTCATTTATCATTACCATTTAACGGGGAGATGGTGAGTCTGAGAGGTGCGGTGGAGTCCCAGGGAAGAGCATATGGTGACCTCGGTGCAACCGTGGCAGCCGTGGACTGCAGGTTGATAGCTAGGGGTACCCACTAAGCATTCTGGGGGTTTGGAGGTACTGGCTCCAGTCTTTGGTGAAGCAAACGTGACGCTGGGCAGTGTCCGGGCCTGGGGCGGAGCAGAGGATGAGCTGCCTCTAGCCCCATCTTTGAGTACTGTGGTGAAAAAAGCAGCTTCCTAGTGCAGTGCGTAGAGCAAAGGAGAGGGAATTCAATTCAGTTCAACTCAACTCAAATTCAATTCAAAAATACTTTATTAATCCCAGAGGGAAATTGATTAATGGCATCACACCCCAACAAGGCTCAGCAGAGGAAGTAAGATCCTCGAGATAATTGGTACCAGTGTTGAGGACTACATCCCAGAGATTAAAACCAAATCTGGAAGAAAGCACACTCGCTTCATACCTGTCAGAGCGTCTGTGGAGGCGTGTCACCTGTCGGAAGATCTCATCCAGCAGCAGCAGATTAGGCTCGTTTCAGGTCAGTGTGGTGTGCGGAGAGGTTTCTGACACGAATGACCCACAACTTTGGCTAGCGGAGACGTATGTCCACCGCTTTTTTGAGCCGCACCGGCGACGTCCTAGCAAAGTACCTGGTGCGGAGCTGACATGGAGGACCAGTGCACCGCCTAGAGCATTGTGCTGGTTGTAGGCAATATTACACGGATTTAATGAACAAGTGTTTGGGGTCATATAACATGCGAGGCTTACAAGTGGGTCACTCAGAGCCAGATAAATCACATCGGTTTGTGGAGGACAAATTATTGGACAAGTGTGACATTCTGTGTGTCCAGGAGACATTTCTAGCCAAGCAAAGTTTAGGGAATCTGAACTCTCTACTCAGTGACCTTTACGGGAATCCACCACCGACTATTGCACAAGGTTGGTGAGGGACAGTATTCCCAGGGGTGTGGCTGTTATTTGGCACATAAAGATTGACCAGCTGGTCAGGGTAATCAGGTTGGAGGCTGACTGGGCTAGAGGTCTGGAGTTTATACGGGGAGGTAAGACAATTGTTATATTGAAGATTTTTGCACCTTATGAAAGTCAATTTAACGAAGATGAAGATCTAAGTAGCCTCATATTTAAGTCTCCCCATCAACCTGTCTTTTAATTATGGGGGACATGAATGCTAATGTCTCCAACGACAAGCTCTTTTTCGGCAACTATCGAAAAACAGTTTTGTCAAGACAATAGGCTGATCCTTTCTAGTGAGCTGCTATTGCTGAAGGACAGCTACATTTACATTAGCGAAACATGGCACTCTACTTCATGGCTGGAGCACTGTATATGCTCAAAGGCTGCACATGAATAAATATTGGACATAAGTATAATTTATGAACTGGCTCATTCTAATCGTATCCCCTTTTGTGGAAGGATAAATGTGGGTAAATTACCGGCTCTCCTGCCCTTAAAAAGGAACCCTGCTCATGACAAGAAGATAATTTGGGGTGCCTTAACTGAGCAGAAAATACACTGGTATGGTAAACGGATAGAGGCTGTGCTTGTTATGGTCCCAACACTTTTTATACTTGGGACATTGTGGATCGGTGGGCAGAATACTTCCAAGACCTCAGTCCCACTGGCACGTCTTCCAGTGAGGGAGCAGAGTCCAGGACTTTGGGTTGGGCTCTCCATACTCTGGTGCTGAGGTCAATGAGGTTGTCCAAAAGCTCCTCAATGGCAAGGCCCCGGGGGTGGATGAGATCCACCCAGAGTTCTTTAAGGCTCTGGATGTCATAGAGCTGTGTGGGCTGACGCAAATCTGCGATATCGCATGGATATCTGGGGCAGTTCGACTGGACTGGCAGACCGGGGTGGTGGTCCTCCTATTTAAAAAGGGGGACCGCGGGGTGTGTTCCAATTACAGGGGGATCACACTCCTGAGCCTCCCTGGTAAGGTCTATTCCAGGGTTCTGGAGAGGAGGGTCCATCGGATTGTCAAACCTCGGATTCAGGGGGAAACAATGTAGTTGTCGTCCTGGCCGTGAAACACTGGACCTGCTCTATACCCTTAAGGGTCCTGGAGGGTGCCTGGTCTACATGTGTTTTGTGGATTTGGAGAAGGCATTCGACCGCGTCCCCTGAGGAGTCCTGGGGGGGGGGGGGGGGGGGGGGGGGGATTTCTAGGCACAGCCAAGGTGTTGAGGGGATCTGTTTTAGTGGCCTGAGGATCAGGTCTTTGCCTTTTGCAGATGATGTGGTCCTGTTGGCTTCATCAGAACGTGATCTTCGGCTCTCATTGAAGTGGTTCGCAACCGATTGTGAAGCAGCTGGGATGAGAATCAGCTCCTCTAAATGTGAGACCATGGTAATGACTAGAAAAGGGTAGAATGCCTACTCCATGTCAGGGATGAGGTCCTGCCTCAAGAGGGGGAGTTTCAGTATCTCGGGGTCTTGTTCACGAGTGAGGGAAAGATGGAGCACAAGATCGAAAGGCGGATTGGTGCTGCGTCTGCAGTGATGTGGGCGTTGTACTGGTCTGTCGTGGTGAAGAGAGAGCTGATTTACCGGTCAATCTACGTTCCTACCCTCAGCTATGGTCACGAGCTTTGGGTAGTGACCGAAAGAACAAGATCATGGATACAAACGGCCAAAATGAATTTTCTACGCAGGGTGGCTGGGCTCTCCCTTAGAGACAGAGTGAGAAGCTTGGTCATCTGGAAGGGGCTCAGAGTAGACCTGCTGTTCCTTCACATTTAGAGGAACCAGTTGAATAGGCTTGAGAATCTGGTCAGGATGCCTCCTGGACGCCTCCCTGGAGGGACCATGTCTCTCAGCTGGCCAGGGAATGCCTTGGGATCCCCCCAGAGGAGCTGGCCCAAGTAGCTGGGGAGAGGGAAGTCTGGGCCTCTCGGCTTAGGCTGCTGCCCCAACAACCCAACTCTGTATAAGCAGTTGAAAATGGATGGATGGATACATTAGGTAGGTGTTAGTTACTAGGAGGTTGATGCTGGTGCTGACTTCTGTCTAGTCCTGAAAAACTGGGCAAGGTCCTAGCTGCTGTGCCTACTAAGCTTAGGCTATTTCATTAGTTCCTCACAACGCATGCACTTAAACTCTAAACCTGCCACCCAAAAATAGTCTGCGTCAGTTCTACAGACACTTTTGAAGAAATGGAATGTGACTTGAGCAATGGGGATATGAAACACTGAAACATTCAGAAGACATACACAATCAATGTCAATCTTCTTCCATAATCAAATGTGGACCAGGATGATTTATGTTTCTATTGATGGATTTTATTTTGTTTTACTCGTCAGGAGCGGACTGAGGACAAGAAGAAAGTCTACCAGCTGGCAGCAGGTATATTTGGAGCTTTGCAGCATGTCCTATAACTACTTTCTTTCTCATGACTGTGTGATGTTGAACCTACAGCAAGGTTGCAGGCTCCAGAGGCTGCATCAGAGACTAAGCCAGATCAGCAGGAAAGTGACCTCACAAGCAAGGAGGCCTCCATCCACTCTCCTTCTCCTCGGAGAAATGGCAGCATCACAAACTTTCAGTCTCCAGTTCTTCGTGGTAACAGCATTCATACCATCACTCAGTCAGCCTCTAGAACCAAGCTGACCAGAGGAAATGTGTCTGGATCAGTCAGAAGTCCTGTCACCATACTACCCAAGCGCCGGGCGGAGCACATACCCAACAGGTGACAAAACCATCAGATTCACACAGATTTTAGAAACCTTGGTTAACCCTAACCCTAATGGTTAAATGTGTAGCTCACAGAACCAGTAAAAATATGGTTAAAGTGAGAGAAAATGTGACTAAAAATGTAAGCAAAGGGAACTAGAGAAACCAGTAGATCCCAGCACAGGCAGAGTTGGTAAAAAGAGCAGAATAAGGAGAGGGGGTGATGAGGGGGTCCCATCAAAGCCTGAATAGGTGAGTTTAAAGGAGACCACTGAGTCCACTGAGTCTGGGGGCCACAGCAGCAGATGATCTGTCACCTTTGACCTTTAGCCTGGTGCTGCACAACCAGTAGGCTTTGATCACTGGACCTCAGGGACCTGCTGGGGGTGTAGGGACTAAGAAGATCACCAATGTAAGATGGTGCTTGTCCATGTAAGGCCCTATAGACCAGAACCAGGATCTTGAAATGAACCCTGAAGGTGACTGGCAGCCAGTGAAGCTGGAGGAGAAGCGGGGTGATGTCCATATGTAAACTTGACTAGACTAGTGTCAATAGTGACTGAGAGGGTTCAGGTGCACCGTGTGTGTATGAGGAAGGGGAGGGGTGCATCAAGTCAATAGTGACTTGATGCAATTTGCTGGGTTCCTTATATAGGAAAAATTATTTCTGATTGGCTTAATGAAGTGACCTGAATTGGAATTTTTATTATGTGAAGTGCCTTGAGACGACTCTTGTCGTGATTTGGCGCTATATAAATAAACTTGAATTGACTGGGAAGGACCGGACAGGACTGGACTGGACCCGACTTGACTGAAAAGAACTGGAATGGATTTGACTTCACTGGAAAGGACCGGACTGAAGACAACTGGAAAGGTCTGGACCGAACTTAACTGTACAGGAATGGACTGGACTGGAACTGACTGGACCATGTAACGATTTGTAAGTGGTTACTTTTAATAAATTGTCAATAGAATATAAATGTATTCAATAAAATGTAATATTCCATAAAAATTATCTAAATTATTTACCCTTTAGTATTTGATTGATGATGAAACTAGGTACTTTGGGTATGCCAGGGAAACAACACTTTTAATAATTTGACATAGAGACAAAATATACTTTATAAAAAGGATTTATTACTATACTTATACTATGATGATGCAGAACAAATGATTATAATTGATGAGTTAAGGTGATATCAACTGGGAGACGGAATGAGCAACGATGAAATATGAGCTTAGATGTTATGAAGAAAAAACCTTATTAAGTTTCTTAAACTGTGATGTCTGGGTTGTGAAATAAGTTTAGCTGAATGTTTAGTGAGGTTTAACAAATTATCTAATAAATAATAAAAACCATCCTGACGCCAGGTGAGAGACTAGAGTCTGGGGACTTTGGGTTGGCCTCTCAGATCTCTGGTGCTGAGGTCACTGAGGTGGTTAAAAAGCTCCTCTGGGGCAAGGCTCCAGGGGCGGATGAGATCCACCCGGAGATCCTTAAGGCTCTGGATGTTGTGGGGCTGTGTTGGCTGACGCGGCTCTGCAATATCGTGTGGACATCAGGGGCAGTCCCACTGGACTGGCAGATCGGGGTGGTGGTCCCCTTATTTAAAAAGGGGGACCACAGGGTGTGTTCCAACTACAGGGGGATCACACTGTGGATTTGGACACACCCTTAGGCTCGCTGTTCTGTGACAAATAAAGTTTTTTCAGTGTTAACAAATATAGCTAACAGGTTGGACAACAAAAACTGTTCCACAGAAGGAGTAATAGTGTTTCTGCTACCAACAACATCCATTAAAGTAGCTACACTCGATTAACGCTGTTGTTTTTTTTTTTTTTTTTTTTTTCATAACAGGATCCGACCACTTACTGGTGCCCCCAGTGATACCTGCAGGTCCAAGTCCTGCCTCCACATGGCGTGTAATTCCCCAGCTCACTGTTCTCACTGCATCCACTCTGACCCCTTGTACAGGAAGACCTTGTGCTCTCTACACCCCGTCGAGGCTTCTGCGATCATTGCTGCAAAGAGTTACAATGAAAGACGCGGTCACACCACGCGCTACATGATCGTTAATGAGCACAAGCCCAGAGCGAAGCTGCTGCGCTCAGCTACACGGATCCCATGCCATTATCTACTGGAGGAGCCTGCAGAGATTATGAAGCTGTACCCTCACAACATGAGACGCTACGCAGCTC